TAGCTAAAGGTGAACCAGTATCTGACTTGGGCCGGTAGCCTGGGCTAGCTGGCATCTTTCTTCATGTCAGTAGCAAACATGTGGCAAACACAGCCTGTTGAATTAGGTAGGGGATCCCTAGTAGAATGGAATCAACAGAAATAGTGTATGTTTATGTAAGGGGTTTCTAAGTTAGGCTTACAGGAGCAAAAGCAGGAAAGTCCACTATGATCATCCGAGCAGTAAGGTAGGAGAGGCCACAGTGGCCATCTGTGGGATCTCCAGGATCAGAAGATGCTTCAGTGGCTGTCTGTGTGCTAGAGAGCTGGAGGATCCAATAGCTGCTCAGCCCAAGAATATGAAAGCTGTAGAACGGGAGGGACCAAGGGTGGAGCACCAGTCCCAAAGCTTGAAAACTCACCGTAGAGTCACCAGTGAGCATCTGTGTTGGAAGGCTAAAGAAACAAAACTGAAGGGTTGAGGATTTAGCTCAGTGGCACAAAAGTGCCTACCTGGCAAGTGTGAGATCATGAATTCGATGGTACTGAAAAAGAAGTAAGACTGATGTCCAAAGACAGTGACAAACACTAAGACTCTTCAAAAATGAGGACATTTCCTTCCTTCCTTTTTTATTCCATTCAGGCCACAAGCCTGTTGTTTGGTCCCACCCACATCTGTAGTGAGTCTTTCTCCCTCAGTTTGTGGACTTACATGTCAGTCTCCACAGACACACCCAGAACTTTGCTTTACGCATCTGCTTGGCACTTACTAATCCAGTCAAGCTGAGCATCATGGTTAATGGTCACACCCCTGTGGGGAACTGGCAGGCCACTTGGCACAGCCTCCCAGGTTTGTTGGACAGAGTCCGGTCTAGAAGCAGTTAGGGAGCGTCCAGAAGAACCCACCTGTATCTTTCCCTTGAAGGAGAATAAAGCCTCTGCCCAAGTGCTGCAGAGGCCTCTAAGGGAATTCACACTGGGTAACTGCAGACCATTTGTTTATTTTTGTTTGCAGGAGGGCTTTTTATTTGGTGCAGACTTCCAAAATGGAGTAAAAAAAGTCCCAGGTACTTGAACCTTAAGATAGCTCATAAATGCCAGAGTGTTTATCATTCCGTAGGCATGTGGGTTTGGAACTGAACGGTTAGGAGAAAAGATTGGGGCAGTGGAGTAGTAGAATCTATCTGGATCTTCTGATGACCTTTCAGGGAAGAAGGTGACGTCCTTATCCTCCCCTGCCCCCGCCATGTAGCTCTATTTTTTGGACTTTTTACCTTTTGCCCTTATTTTCTATTTAAAAAGTGGCTTGCAAACTCAGTGTCTTACACTCAGTGCTGTAGGGTCAATACCAAATGGAAAGCAGAACTCTGTCCTTCCACATTAGTGGATTTCCCAGGAAAAGTGTCTACTAACCAGAGCAAGGGGTACTTCAGGAGTAATGCTGGGACAGCATAGAGGTTATGGAATGAGTATTTCTTAAGGCCCTTGTCTGTGTTCTTGCTGCCATGTAGCTCTTCCTCCTGTGTAGTCAGCCTGTGACTCTGCATGGTGCCAGCTCCATACTCAAGACTTCCTGGCTGTTATGTCCCTGGTCTGGCTCTGTGTACATTAACCTTGAAAAGGTTACTTAATCTTTTGGACGTCAGTATCCTGGTCTTCGAAATAGTAAATGGTTGTACATAACCCTATGCTTACGTTGTGATAAATGAGAAGACCTAAAGAACTGTGACTACTGATAAAAATGAGTCAATAAATGCAAACCAGGATTTATTCTCAAGTGCAAAAGGAGGTGCTTCAGAGGTTACATAGAGTCCATTGTTTTCACATTGGTTGTGTGGAGAGTGCTAGTAACTGTGCACAGTGCTCTAGAAGTTCAAAGAAACTGTGGAATCCAGCAGAGAGGTGGCCGCTGGCCACAGCCAGCAGATTTTACATGACCTGTGGCTTGCTTAGGTTCCTGTATATCACCCTAGCCCTCGGCCCACCTGAACACATCCTGTAACCCTCCGATTCCTTCCTCGCCATTTAATGCCTCCAGGCCTGATTATGACACCACCTGGATTTGATTTGCTTCATTTCAGAGTGCTTTCATGTTTCTATTTCATTTAGTCATTGCAAGAGTAAAATGAGTTGCCTCATTTTTCAGATGAAGAAACTAAGGTCCAGGGAATGGAAATAACTTGCCAGGATCTCAAAGCTGACAAAGCCTGATTATTGTGCCATTTCCCAGTCAGATAGTATGTGCTGAGTTATCTCATGAGCCTTTACAAAACACTGTAACTCAGAGCAAAGCACCCAGAAGCCCTAGTACTGCTTTGGTTAGGACACAAGTCTCTTCCTTCTGCAGAGTCACCTCCTCTTCAGAGATAACATTTCCCAGCTCATCTGTTTCTTAAAATCTCAGGGCCAACTCGTCCCTGACGGAAAGAACTTTAGACTTGGAGCTAAGAAGGCTGTCCTGTTTCAGCTGCACCGCATGAGTCATGTGACCACGTGTGGCTCCAAGGCCTCACTGTGGCCTCTTCCCTTCTCTGTGCAGTGAGGCTGCTCTGAGCCTGCGAGTCTCACTGTTTCCCCTGAACACAAACATCCAGTAACATTCCCTCGTAGACCTCCTTGGTGGCCTGATTGCCAGCACCTTAGCTTGACCCCGTCTCTGGAACTCAGAAAATAACCTTGACTGTGTTCTAGGTTATCAGGAAGGAGACAGCATGTGAGATGTAGTGCTTTTTCTTGTGTCAGGTGATTCGAACACCTCACAGTGAACATGCTGCGGCATGGGGTTGGCAAGCCTCCCCTGGTACACTTCCATCCATCCGTGCTCCCACAGCCCGAAGCCTGTCTACAGGGGTCTGATACAGCAAGTTCAAAGTTCAGATACCCTGGAGTCATTTAAAATGTTGCACAACTTACTGTGTGAACACAGAACCACTTAGTTGAGAAACAAAGAGCAACCTCAAGTTCATTCTTCATCTCTCATCATGTGTGGTAGTGGATCTGCACATTTCTAAACTGGGTTAGAAAATAAGAGGCTTGGCACAAGGCATGGTGGTGCATGCCTGTCATCCCAACACTTGAGACACTGAGGCAGGAGGATATCTGTGACTTTTAATGCCAGCCTGAACGACATAGCAAGACCCTGTCTCAAAAAATTGGGGAGGGGGCAGCAGTTTGATTCATTTTACTAACTCTACCAGAAAGCCAAAAGTGAAACAGTTCCCTTCTTGTTCCCAGGTTTCTTTTCAGTCTTCTGGTTTTATTACTAATGGACTTGTGTCTGGATAGATGCCTGAAATGCAGCTTTTTTTCAAAGCTCTGGGCTTGTTACTGTTTTCAAGACTTGTCTTAGCTGAGATGTTTAGATCTGTGGATCTTTGACACTGGGCTGTGTTTACTTTAGAACCCAGTGTGATCACTTAAGCCCATGCATTTGGGGGCAGACTGGCCATATAGCAAGACCTGTCTTAAAAAATGAAGTGTCCACTGTGACCATCATTAACCGGCCCCTGAATTTTCTGTCTGGTCTTGTAGTTCAAAATGTTGTCACTGAGAGGAGAGAGGAATTTGAGACTTTAAGCAAATGCTTAAGCTGGCTCCCTTCTTGCCAGAGCGGCTGTGCTGCCTCAGGTCACAGCTTTCCAAACAGATTAGCAGGACGGCCCCTGGAGGTGGTGTGAACCACTCCTCTTTCCTAGGACTGGCCAGAGTCAAGTAAGCTCTTTGCCTTTTATCCACTTCAGAAGAAATGTTGTGGACAATCATTATCAGCATCAAATAAAACCATGTATGAAAATTTTTATCAAAAAGTAATGAGTGAAACCTTTCCACAGTAGTTAGATGTGTGTCATATTAACAAAGTCCAGACAGGGATCGTAGTCACAAGGAGGGAAGCTGTGATGTGCACAGTTGATGTGCACAAGTAAATCTGTAGCTTTTCAATGGCAGTGGATCTTTTTTGGTAGAATTTACGTGGAAAAGAATTGACCCATTTTTAAGGGCTAGGGATTTAGTTCAGTGGCATAAACTCCTGCCTGGCAAGTGTGAGGTCGGGAGTTCAATCCCCCCCCCCAAAAAAAACTGACCCATTTTAAAATAAATGGAAACGATTGGAAATAGTTTATCTGCTCAGGTGTGGTGGTGTGCACCTGTGATCCCAGCACTTGAAAGGCTGGGACAGGAGGATCACCATGAATTTAAGGCCTGCCTGGGCAACCTAGCAAAATTGTCTTTAAAAAAAAAAGTTTATCTGTGTTATATTTTTAAAAATAGATCAAAGGACTAGGTTTGCCTAATGGGAACTCAGGATTCTTAACCAGTACTGATGTGACACTGAGGAAACTCTGGGTACATAAGCAGTGTAAACTTCCCTGGGAACAAAACCATGGTGCACCATACCCTGTGTTTACCCGGCACCAGAAACAGCAGTTTTGCTTGGTGGCATTTGGGAACATGCTGGCTGGTGGGCCACCCCACCTCTGAATTCTCAAAGCCAGCTCCTAAACCACATGCGCGGGTGAGGGACAAAAGTGGTACCAGGAGAGTGGATGACGAGACAGGCAGGGTGAAGGGTGGAGGTACTGCTGACTGTACCGATTTCTGATTTCTCCCGGGTGATCCTGGCAAATGATGTGAAGGCTGTGAGGGAAAAGGTATTAAACTGTCTATTATTCGAAGGCAGATTATTCAGCTGCCATGATTCCTATTCCTATTGTCCACTAAACCCCACTGAGAAAGGAGCTAAAAGAAAATTAAACTCAAATCAGATGTGAGTGACTTCTGTTAAACATTTGCTATGGGTGTACTATAGGAGAGCCCTAGTGAAAACCAAGTCATAGCCTGTGACAAAAAGGCACAACCTTGATGACTTCATGAAGGATGAGATGGGTCTAGGGTCTGTCAAAATTGTCCTAGTCCATGCTGATGCTGCCCCACACAGCTGTTGTTGTTTGAGTATGTCCACATCTATTATGGCTATTTCAGGTTTGAAGACCATAAATGCCATTCTATTTTCCTGTCTTTCAGGTTTCAAGTGCCCCATTTGCTCCAAGTCTGTGGCTTCTGATGAGATGGAAATGCACTTTATAATGTGTCTGAGCAAACCTCGCCTCTCCTACAATGGTAAGAGCTAGGCCTGCCCTGTCTGCCTCCTGAGCTCACTGTGGGGGGCTGGCTAGGTCTGTGGGGAGTGTCAACTGAGGGACTCTGTAGAGAGTTTCACCCACCTTGTGCCACAGATGTCTGCCAGGCGCCAAGGATAGAGGGGCTGAGAAAACAGACCATGTCCTGTGCCTACCATTTCCATGGACCCTGGTTGAGAGACATGGCCATTCCTTCACCTGCTCATGTTCCTGTCTGTGGTAGGCCTCAAGTACCATCATACAGTGGAATGTTCCTCCAGGATGAAGGGCAGCCTTGTGCTGGTGGTGCCCATAGTCCTGGGAAGGCTAGTCACCACCTCCTGGCTTTGCAACTCAACTAAGCATTTGATTGAGCCCTCAACTCTTTAGCAGAGAGTTTAGGAAATGGAGTGTGAAACTCTTTGGGAATTAGATGTTGACAGATGGCCTCACTGCTCCACCAGAGCTACCTTGGAGGAGCCTCAAGACTGAACAGTGAATAATCCTGGGGTCTAGGAATTCCGTGACACGCAAGCCACACCAGTATGACATTCAGAGACAAAATAAATGTCAGCATCTGCCTAATATGCTGTGGGTAAAGATTTGGAGTCAGTCTCATCGGAGCTCAAACATTTCCGTGGCTGTTATGCACTGTAATCTCAAGATGAATTGCCTAGTTTAGTAGAGCCTCAATTGTCCAGGCTTCCAACTGGAGACAGCAATCTCTAGTTCATGGGATTCTCCAGACTAAGATATCACAGAGCCTGCATCTGGTCAGCACTTAGGAAGTTGGAAGAGGTGAGGCCATCTATAGTCCCGCCGTGGTGGTTTTCCAGATGAAGTAACAGTGTGGCTTAGCCTATGCTGTGGGGACTCTGGTACTCTGGTTTTCCATCCCTATAATTTGTCCAGTCTCCAAACCCTGTTTATCAGAGAATCTTGTCCTCTACAGTGACAGGTATAGCTCTGAGGGCTGCTGTCTGGTCCCTCAGCAGGCTCAGCTTCTTGGTTTATAGTCAGAGCAAGGGTTTGGAAAAGAGTTCAAGGATTTTTGAGTCTGAGGACTCATTTATCCTGACAGTGGATATTTCCTGGGGACACTCTCCTCAAACAAAATAAGACAGACCTTCCTACACATGCCAGCATCAGCCTAGGGGGGACTCATTATTCTGAGGTGACCCTGGGGGTACCAGTCTTATGAATTAAATCTGCTTTGTTCTCCTAAAAACATATTCTACAACAAGTTGCATATCCTTTATCTGAAATGCTTATGACTAGAAGTGTTGGGGATAGTCGCCCAGATGTTACCAGTTGAACATTTCTAATTTGAAAATCCAGAGCTGCGAGTGTCATGTTACCACCCAAAAAGTCTCAGGAACTGAGGGTGTAGCTCAGTGGTAGAGTGAGAGTGCTTGCCTAGCATGTACAGGACAAGCTAGTGTGGGTTGGTTCAGTGCCCAGCACCCTTACCCCCAAAACTTTAAAAATTGAGATTTCAAAGCATTCTCACTCTACCACTGAGCTACACCCTCAGTTCCTGAGACTTTGGGTGGTAACATGACACTCGCAGCTCTGGATTTTCAAATTAGAAATGTTCAACTGGTAACATCAGGGCAACTATCTCCAAATCGCAAACACTTCTAGTCATAAGCATTTCACAGTTCAGATTAGGGCTGCTCACCCCATATTCTTATGCCTCTTATTTCATGATCAAAGGATTCCCACTTAAGGGCAGGTATGTCACCTACCTGTCTCAGCTACCTGCAGTCTCATAACCTCTGCTCTGCAGTCTCATAACCTCTGCTCAGGTTAGGGAGCAGCAATGAGACAGGTTATGGTCTTGTCTCTGTCCCTGGTGTTTCCTTCCCTTTTATATTCTGCTTGATGTTCAGAAGCCCCTTTCCTCCTGAGTGAAGAGTCACCCAGAAACCTGCCACCATGCCCCTTTATCTGTTGTCACGTTTGCTCTATGCTTCCCGTGCTCAAGCTCAGCTTTGTTCCTGTTGGCCATCTCTGCCTGGGACAGTGGAGGGAAAGTCATCTTCCCTGTGTCTCACGGCCCTCCCCAGCTATAGCTTCAAATGCTGTATTCACTTCTATCCCACATGTGTCAAGACTTCATGAAGACCTTTTTTGTCCTGTGGTCTGTTGGGGAGAGCACTCTGTAGACACTGCCTTTGCTGTCATACAACACAAAGATGCCTTAGAAGGGACTTGGCCTGCGAGAATTCGGCTCTGGGTGTCATCAGGGAGAAGTTGGTAAGAGCAACTGTGGAGGGCAGAGTGCTTCTGGGGCCTCTCTGAGTCAGGAGTCATCCATATACCCCCTTAGAGAGTGGGGATCTCCGGCTCCTCTTCCAGAGAACTGCCCTTGACGTCCCCATGTGTCCCGAGGTCCTCGGTGGCATGAGCTCCTCAAACTCAGTCTTTATGTTTTCTGAAGATATTTAGATTTCCAGATAAGGGACAGCATTTCCCACATAGATTTTTGTGTGGAGTGGAGTCTCCCAGGCAGGCATAAAGCCTGTTCCAGTTCGGGTAAAGTGCAAACCCATCAGGACCACAGGCTGGAGCTTCCAAGGCGAGAACCCTGAGTTTATTTTGGTTTTGCCGATAACATGTTCTACCCAAAATTTCTCATCATCCTGGTCTCACCTGCTTCACATGACCTTTTCTACTAAAAAAAAAAAAAAAAAAAAAAAAAGTGAGAAGGCTTGTCTCAAAGGTGTGGGCTCTTGTAATCTTTTTGGAAAAGGGGCGGGATAAAGCTTTTTAAGATGACAAATATGTGCTCTTTTCTTAGGGAGAATCCCTACAATTTCTGGTCATTGCCCTGAAGACATCCCCTCTACACAAACCTACACACACTTCCAAAGTTGCTGGAACCAATTGGAGAAATTTTTAGAAAATTTATAATGGTTATATAATATGAAAGTTAACCATCAAAGAAGAAAAGTAGCAGTCTCTTCAGTGAGGCAGATAGAAAGAAGTGTTTTTCTTATTATGAGGGCTGGCCTGAGTAGGGCTTGGAAGGTCTCTAGTAGCTGCCTGCCAGATTTCTAAAGAACTAAGGAAAGGCAAGACTAGTTTGTCCAGTTAAGACCTACACCTGGTGCTCCAGGGCAGGAACAGGCTGGGAGGCTGGTGAATAGCAGAGCTGCAGGGAGGCAGGCAGGGTGCAGCATAGACTGTTATACCCTCTTCTTCTGAGGCTCCCAAAGGCAGCCTCAGGGATCCTGGAAAGCGGAGAGTGGTCAGCCTCAATGGCTTTTCATGTCTCTTTATGGAATCTTTGTGGTTCTGAGGCTGACCTGAAAAGCAGGCACACACATTTTCTTTCTTTCTTTCTTTCATTCATTTATTCATTTTAATTTATTTTGCAGTGCCGATTAAACCTAGGGCATTATGGTAGGCTCATGCTCTACACTGAGATAAAACCCCAGTCTCTGTACACAAATTCTAATCATCAAATCACCCTCATGCTACTATGGTGCTGGTTACCTGAAAGCTTAAAGGTGCTATTCTGAGACCGGCCTGGGCTGTTTGGTGCTGGGAGACCACGGTGGGACAGGTGGTTTACAGCATTCAGAAAGTGCAGTGGCCAGCATACTGCTTCAGGAGACCCTCTTTCCAGGTCTTCTGTGGGGCACAGGTCAGCATCTGGCTTTATAGCTCATAATGCCCTCTCCCTCGTGTCTTCCAAAGGTCATTGCCCTGTCTTAAGGGCTCTGGAAATAGTAAACATTGCACAGGCCTTCTTTAAATAGCTGGCTCCCCTAAAAGCAGAAAGTCTCCTGCTCCAGCCAGTCTGCCCTGAGTGATAGACCTGTGTGAACAGGTGCTTGTTTGTCCTTTGGCTTCTGCTTTCTGAGCCCCCGAGGTTGAGGTGGAAATGCTCTGCCTTTCTCAGGCCTAGGGAAGCTGGACCTCGGAGTGAGAGCTATTGTTAGAAGCTGGAGCAGTGGCTGGAGTCTGGCGGCTATGGAGGTATTTGTCCTGATGCTCTTGCTGGGGGAGCGAAAGAGGGAAGAGGTAGTGTAGGCAGGTCCAAGCAGCTGCTGACCGGCTGTAGTGACTGCCAGATTATCCAAACGGTGCATGATGAGTAGGGGGCCCTAGGTGTGAGGCCTGCGGGGAACCAGAAACCAGTGGCCAGAGAAGGCACTGTGGTGGTGGTAGTGGGGCAGTGGATATGAAGCACCCCAGGCCTCCCCTGGAGCAGGATCTCCCCTCTGGGCTACCCTAATTGCAGTTTAACTCACTGTGACAACTGGATTGCTCCTCACCCAGTCCTGGGGTGTTGAGATGAGGTGCTGCAGGCGAGGACACTGTCTCCTGAAGGTATCCCCTTTGCCTTGAGAATCACATACCAAATTTCTCAAGGAGGGAGCCAACAAGGCATGGCCTTGGTGTCACTACTATGTCTAGTCCCCTTAGAGTGAGCCAACAGCTTTGCACATGCTGAAGAGGATACAAGACCAGCCACTCTTAGACACCTAAGCTGGAAATGGGGCCAGGGCCAGAGCCTGTGCCCTGCATTATTTGCTAGGGGTTCTTCTCCCTCTGGCTCCTGTCTTTCTTCCCACTGCCACTGGGCGCAAGGGAAAGCACATAAGTGTCCCAACTCTCCCGGCTGACTCAGCCATCCCTCCCAGTCAGGCAGCAGAAATGTGTCTGGCTTATTCCATGAAACCTAGTATAAGTAGTAGCTTTGGGGTCCCTTGGCAATACATTTCCAGCGCTCTCTATGAGGCAGCCAAGTCCTGGGGTATTGAAGAGCAGCAGAACCACCCTCAGTCTGGCCCGTCACTACTTTAGGGTCCCTGTGCATAGCTCACAAAATGGGAAAATTCAAAGATAAGATGAGTGTGTTTTCAAGCCCTGTGGGACAACACCTGTGTGGCCTGGTCCTTCAAGGAAGCAGGCGTGGTGGCCAAGTGGAAGTCACTTGGGCTTTAGAGTTACAGCCATTCAGCTGCTTGAGTTTATCCAGAGACTCTCCAGCCCAGGGCATTAGCAGTCCTTGGGATGTGCCTGTGAAGGTTCAGTGTAGAGCTAGCCCAAAGAAGTGAGGCCCCTTTCATCCTCCTCCTCCTCAACTTGTTCTACTTGACAAATGGCACTTGTCAGAAGTGCTGATCTCAGGGAGGAAGCAGAAGTATGCCATCACCTCCAGCCAGCCTGTCACAGACAGCACACCTCCTGGTTGGACGCCAGAGAGCTTTGCCTGCCATTCTGGGTTGGTTCTGTGGTGTGCTACACAGACTGCAGTCAGGAATACTCCACTCTACCCTCTGCAGTGACATTGGTTGGCTGTTTGCACATGGTAGCAGAAAGATTAGAAGGGGCTTGAGGCTATAACAAGGCAAAACCCAAGAGCAGGAAACTCAGCTTTAATTCTCTGTTCTCATTATCTAGCCCTTGTCAAGTCCCTCCTCAGGGACTTTGGCTTTGTGCTGTGGGGTCCCTGCTGTGGCTTCCCTCCAGCAGCAAGCCACAGGCTCCTGTCAGATGAAGATGGAAATCTTGGAATCAGTTGAGAGCCAAACTTACACTTCAGCAATTCCTAGTCCTCTGCCTTGATCCCAGGTATATCTGGGGCTGCTGATTTCCAGGGCCCCAGTGATTGTCGCAGGAAATTTTATTCAACCCACACAGATTTCTTGTGGGACCATGTTTCTCCTGCCTCTGCTGTTGGAGAATGCTGCTTCCTGGGTACTTGGCTAGGTGCTGGCCTCCCTACAGAGTCAAAGTCCAACGTTCTCACCCCCCTTCCCCCAACCTCCAAGTGGCCTTTTGCAGCTTGGTCCCAGTGAAATGTGCTCTTTGCCATGTGCCAGCCAGGTATGACAGCTGTACTTTTCAGTTCTTCCTGTCAGAGCTGCAGCCCCTGGCTGGCTGACAAGGCATATAAAACTGCTATATGAAGTGGCCAAGAAAAGGCTGCATGTAACCCGTAAGTGCTCAAGTCTTGAGGCCACCCTAGGATAAGGAAATGGACCAGCTTGTACCTTTTGCCCTATCCCTTTTCTCTAGTGGCATGCAGCATGGAGAGGTAAGACCAAGCCTCCCTCTTCTGCCCCATTTATGTCAAGTCTGGGGGACACATGGGTCCTCTTGGAGCAGATGCAATGGAGAATGAGCTCAGCCTGTAGAAGAAGCTGTTGGAGGTCCAGAGAAGTCTTAACGTGGCCCTTAGGCACATAGTTGTCAGCCACCAGAAAGGGAAATGCAAGAGGAAATTGCTTTGAGATCAGTATGTGGGCAAAAGCAGCCTAAGCACCGCAGTGTGGCTGCGGAGAAGTAAAGAGGAAGAAGGGCTGCAGCTCCTCAGTGCCATGTCAGGGTTGGCATGCCTGAGACAGAAGTGGGGAAGAAATGGCCAGGAATGTCTGTGGGACAACCCCCGCCCTTACTAAAGCTATCTTTCCTGCCACATCTGTGGATTGTGAAAAATGCCAAACATACAGCAGAGTTAAAGCGTTCTGCTGGGACTATCTCTACCCTTCCCCTTAGGGCATACATGACACTATACCTGCTGTACTGCCTGCCTGTCCGTCCACCAACCCATCTTGTCCTTTTGGTGTACTTCAGAGTAAAATGCAAATTGGAACTTGTAAGTGTGAAAGTGTGTTCAGACATTCACAGAATACAAAATCACATGAAAGTATTTTCCAGACCTTTCCTTTGCCTACACAAACATCTAAGTATGCGTGATATCCAGTGTTTTAAAACCTGTAGGATCTTCCCTTTGTGTCACTGTGCCATGTGCCACATTTCAAGTATGAAGTGACGTTCTAGTGGCTGACTGTGTCATCTTTTTTCTGTGTTCATGCCACCCTTTCCAGTGGTCCTTGGGTTAGCCAGATGTTAACATACATGACCACAAATCATTGTGGTGTCCAGGAAGGCAAGTGACTTCTCTGTCTTGTGTACCAGGCATTGGTATATTGGTTCTATCTTAAGCCTTTTCCTTAGGGTTGGGAGGGGCACGGGGAGTCACTCAAGCCCGCTAGGCCATGAAGAACCCTGGTTTTGTGGGCCTCCCATGTTTCCTTTCATACCAAAATAATCAGAAGACACAAACAGCTGTGGGGGAGGTCACCACTCACAGGCCCCCGAGGCAGAGGCAGGCAAGATGTGTGGCTTCTTGGAACTTTCATGTCCTCATCTGCATAGTGTAAATGACACCATTTGCCTTGTTCATAAGATCATAAGGCCAAGGAAAACCTGCACAGAAACACTCAGAATATACCACAAGCAAAGGTGTAGAACATAGGTCTTTGTGAGGAGAGATTATGGGGAGTGATCCTGTTATAAAATCCTTCTTCGTGACCCTCATTCACTCTCCTGTGGCGTGGGGAACTTCTGAGTTATCTCTTCAAGTCGCCATGCTCACCTGCCCCTCACATGTGAGCATTAATCTGGGTCTGTCTGCTGCCGTCTTGGAGTGCAGTCTAAACTTCCTCCCTGGACCATCTGTTTATTCCACGTCTATATCTGTGGCCCACAGCTCTGTTCTAAACCCCAAGTGGAGGCTTCAGCAGATTCCTGGAGGTCTCTAAATCTCCCTCCTGACCCTGAACTTGTCACTTCCTGCTCAGGCCTATCCCTGCAGAGTCCCTCCCAGTGACAAGCCCACACTGATGCACTGCACAGTCGACCTCCAGGGTGAGCTCCCCGTCTTGGGGCCCATCTGTTCCATTTTCTGATAACTTCTGGAGATGTGGTCCGGGTGCAACTCCATGCCGCTGTTGGGCAGACAAGACCCAGTTGCACAGTAGAGCGTGAGTCCATCTTCAGAAACTGGCCCCACTGGCCCCGGGGCTTCATGTGCCTCTGTAGCTGCTTTACAGTTCCACTGTTCCTTTTGCCTGGAACCCACCAAACCTATAGCCTCTGCCTCTCTGCCCAACTCATTGTGGCCTCTCCAAAGTCTTCCCTATACAGTCCCTGCCCCAAGTGGGCACCTTCCACACCCATTATACTTGCACCTTTGTGCTAGAATGCAATGCATTTTGGTTTTTTGTTGAACCTTCCCAGCTAGACTGTGAGTGAGTTCCTAGAGTCCTGGGACTCACTCAGGCTTGGTCACTCTTGAGTTGGCAATGAACACAATGTAAGAATGCGCTGCTGAGCCAGCAGCGGTGTTTACCCTGTAGAGCTCGGGCTTTCCCAGCTCAGCTCTCCTGCCTGGGCAAGTGCAGGAGCTGCTTTTCATTCATTCTTTTGGGGAGGGCAAGTAGAATGTTCTTTTTCTATTTTGAAATTGTGAAATTCACACAAGCTTAGCCATTTAAAATGTATGACTTAGTGGCATTTTGGACATTCACGGTTGTATAGCTACCCTCTCGATCTGGTTCCAAACATTTCATCACCCTGAAAAGAAGCCGTGTAGTGTGATCCCACTTACATGAGCCCCTAACGTAGTCAGATTCAAGGAATCAGAGAGACTGGCATTTGCTACAAATGGAGAAGGGAGAAACGGGGTTGGGTGAAGTTTCACTTACTCAAGGTGAAGTTCTGGAGATCAGTTGTACAACACTGTGCATCTAAAGATTTGGTAAGAGGGCAAATCTGATAGCAGGTGTTACTGTTACAGAAAAATGTGTTTTAAAAGGGAAGGAAATTCCTTATCCGTCAGCAACCATTCCCTATTTTCCCCTGCTTTCAACCGAAATCTGCCTTTTGCCTCTGTGGATTTGTCTATTCTGAATATTGTATATAAACGATACCATAAGTGGCCTTTTGTGCCTGACTTCTCTCACCTAGCGTATTTTTGAGTTTCACCCACACTGTTGCGTGTATCAGTTCTTCCCCTTCTTGGAGGAATAATATTCCAGTGCATGGATATACCTTGTTCAGTTTATCCGTTTAGCAGTTGGTGAATGGTTTTTTTTTTTTTTTTTTTTTTTTTTTTTGTCTTTTTTTGTCTTTTTGAAACAGGGTCTCTCTATGCAGTTCAGGCTGGCCTTGAGCTCACTTTGTAGCCTAGGTTGATCTCGAAGTCGCAATGATCCTCCTGTCTCGGCCTTCCAAGTGCTGGGACTACACGCATGAGCCACCATACCCAGCTTGTTGGGCCATTTTCTACCTTTGGATACAATGGGTTGTGCTGCTGTGAACACCCTTATCCAAATAACTGCTTTTGTAGCTCTTTCTTCCACTTATTCTTGCCTCAAGCACCCTGTGAAGTGCCGTGTTTTTCCACACCAGAAGTCAGCATTCCTGGAGTATGTGTGAATTCAGGGGAAAGTACCGTAAGGGAACAGCTTGCCTTCGCTGCTGCTGCCCTCCCCAGAACTCTCTCAGTCTCCACCCCCAGCGCCTTCGGGTAATCCCAATTGGGATTAATTGCCTTTTGTCTTCGGGTGTGTAATGTGTAATGCACATGTGTTATCTCCTCAGTGAGTCTCTTTCTTAAAGTCGAGGTGCCTCCTGGCTCTATACCCATAGACTCTGGCAGTTGGGTCATCCAGCCAGTTCCTAGACCTGTGTTTGCTCCGTGCCATCCACCAGTGACTAATCCTCTTGCTCTCCCTGCCTCTCCTGCAGATGACGTGCTGACTAAAGATGCGGGTGAATGTGTGATCTGCCTGGAGGAGCTGCTTCAGGGGGACACGATAGCCAGACTGCCCTGCCTGTGCATCTATCACAAAAGGTATGAGAGCCATGCAGAAGCAGCTCACCACATCCCGAGGGGCACAGTAGACCCCTGTCACTAGCCATTCTGTGCCTGTGATTGTGGGATGGCCTCGCTCCAGGGGGCTCCCGACGGCTATTAGGAAAGTTCAAGAACCCCAAATGCAGAACAGAAGTGAATTGCACCAGGTTCAGCTTTGCTTGGACAGCTTGGAGAGTAGGAGTGGGTGGGAAACTGGAGCCCCACCAGTTAAAGGTGCTAAGGATTCCACCTGAAGCTTGACTCCTCCCATCTCCCTGGGCCTGTTCTTCCTACACTGGCCCCTCCACTCTTGCAGTGGGGAGGGTGTCTTTGCTGGCCTGTGTGTGCCCTCCTCCGCAGAGGGCAGAAAGGGTGCTACCTGTAGACTCTGAGAGTGGCTGAGTCACTCTCACTCTCAGCTCCAGCGGGAACCACGTTCCTTTTCCAACTGGAAAGAAGACATTTCTTTGTCCAAGATGGGAGAACACCCTGTGCTCCTGTGGCTGCTACCTGCTGTCTGCTTTTAAAGCCCAGAGCTGCTGCTTGGCATCAAGCAGGGCTGATCTGAGGCTGCTGGTTTATAGGGTGACAGCCTTGCATGGTACATGGATGTGGCTGGTACAGGGGCCATGGTTGACTTTGGGGAGAACTGTGTCTTTGGTCTGGGTCCCAGCACACAGCCCTGCAGTGTCCCAAGGCAGCACTAACTGGAACCAGAAAGCAAAACCCTTCCAGGGGGAAGCTTATTCAAATTATCTATCTGATTCCTGTCCTTAAAAATGCCCAGATGTGGGTTTACATACCAGGATGCGGTCTTGGGCGGTTGCTGTTCCTCTTTTGCTCGTTTTTGAGGCAGACAGTGGGTGTGAAGACTGGAGACACGGGATTCACTAAAATCCCCTCCCTGGCTCGTTTTCTTAGCACTGTCACACAGCCCAAGGTCCTCTACCCCTTCCTACCCTCACAAGGAGGCTTGCGGTTCTCCTAGAAGGCACTCACTGGGGCGGTGCTCTCTTGGGACACAGCTGCTCTTGTGACTTAGGAGGGGCTGCTCTCAGGATCCTAGAGCTGGCCCCTGGCCAGCTTGCCCTGTCTTTGTCCCCACTCCGTGCTTCTCAGGCTTTGGCAATAACTGAACAGCTAGTTGACTGCAGTACACACTCCTTTCACTTGCACCTTCACCCCAGTTGTTGTTGCTGCCCTCCTGGGCTCCCTGCAGCAGGCCTGGATGCCTCTCAGGGCCACTGTGCCCTTCCCGCAGCACCAGATCTACCTGAGCCTGAGCTACCCTTGCTGACTTCTGCTGGAGCAGGACCGTCTGCACACACTCCCTTTTCTCTGCTTCAAAAAGGGAGGCAGATCATTTTTCCGCCTGGGTCCTTTCAGGAAAGATTAACATGTTATCCCCTTACTGTTTCCCACCCCAGCTGCATAGATTCATGGTTTGAAGTGAACAGATCTTGTCCAGAACACCCTGCGGACTGACCCTGCTGGGCTTGCTTGCTGAATCCTCTCAAAGGTGAGTCCATGCTTGGGGGTGTGCTGGGCTCGGGCTCCAGCACTGTTCTCTGTGGGCCTGGTGGCAAGGAGTTGGGCTTCCCTGACACAGCCTTCCAGGAGAAAGCAGGGGTGAAGGGAAAGGCAGCAGCTCATTAGTTTGTAGTCTCCTGGGGTGCAGAGGCTTCATGGGGAAAGATGTGAGGTGCACACAGACAAGCACAGGACCATGAAAAGCATGCTGGGAAGAGGTGGAATTGATTGGGAAAATGCCAGTATATTCCAGACATCCTTCGGGCTGAAGCTTCTGAGGAAAGTTCACATAGGTCCCGGAATGGGCGCTGGAGGAGGCGCATGGGGCTTTGGGTGTGCATCCCTGCCTTGGCCTTGCTTACTTCTCAGGGTCTTCTCTGATGATGGAAAGAGTGACACCTTCACTTTGTGGACAGGTTCTCAGCGAAGCCCGTGGCGGCACTAATTGTCCACTGCAAAGTACTTAGCAGAGGTCATTTACTGCAGGTCCTTCCTGCTGGCCACCTCTCACTCCCTGTTCCAAATGAATCTGAGGCCCCCAACCAGTCTAGTCGCTCAGCTCCCTCCCCCATGTGTGCACCTTCATCCCCAGGGTCACCATAGCCTCTGGCTCTCTGTTCTGCCTGAGGGCACCTTGCTTGGCTGCTGACTGCCCTCTCCTGTCCCCTGCCCCACTAGTCCCTGCTGAGTCTGGGCTGGCATTTTCTTTATCCTGGCAAACAAATGCCAAAGCCCCAGAAAAATCAAAAAGCCCAACTCTACTTCATCTCACTCACATCCGAGGGTTTTAGGGTCTCTCTTTTTCTCTCTCTCTCCTGTTTTGTTTTCTTTTGTTAGGTTTATTTTATTTATTCCAAGTAAATGCCCAGAACAGCTGATGATGTCAGACAAATCGGGACATTTGCTGTTTTTACCTTCACCTCAAAAACCGATGAGAAGGGGAGAAGCAGGAGCAGGGCGAGAGGGAGGCAGAGGGAGTGGCACCTGGCCCGGCAGGGTCCCCGTGCCTGGCGAGATGTTTGACTCCGGGGGTACCGAGCACCAGGTGCCCCATCTGGCCTGCCCTTGGCGGGACACTCACTGCCAGCATGGGGTGCTGCGGCTGGCCCTTGGCCACACAGCGCAAGACTGACTTGTTCCGATCCACATAGGGACACACGGCCCCTGTTCTGAGAGAGGCTCATCGGACACTGGGGCAGAGCTGAGCTTGGGACACCAGTGGGAACGGGGCGCTCCTTCTGCACTGACTTGGACAGCGGTTCTCCCTCCTCCCCGAGGACACCAAATTGGACGAGAGAAGAGTGAATCGACTGCTTATCCTTCCCCTCCCCCCTCAGCCCAGGAGGGAAAGGGCATTTTCTTTTTCACCTTTGAAAGGCATTGTGGGTCTGTCTTTAAAGTGTTTACAAAAAAATTATATAAAAAAAAAGTCTAGTGTCGACTGGTGTTTTCCCTCGTGATGTTTACAGATTGCTGTTTGCTGCCCAGCTGTAACCCACAGTCAGTGACAACCGGACATAGCCATGGGCTCGCCCCTGGCGCTGATGGCAGGCAGGTGGGCATCACAGTCTCACCCTTTGCCCACGCCCTGGTCAGCTCTCTACATCACCAACCTCCCTACTTGGGGTTTTTTTTTTGGTTCTTGTTGTTGTTGTTATTATTATTTTGTTTTCTACTTTTTTGCCCATTTTTTTCTGGCTTGGTTTTGCACTTTTCTTCCCTTTGAAACCCTGATCGATAACTTGATTTCATTGCCAAAACAAACAGACTCCCATCAAGGACTTTCTCCCACTTCCAGTCCCATGTCTCCCCCATTTTTCCTTCTGGTTCTGGTCAGGTCAGAGGATTTAACAATCACAAGTGTCCTGCAAAAATGCCTGAACATTTTTCTTAGGCCCCTGTGGATTCTTTTTGTCCCCAGAAAACTTAATAAAAGACTTACTGGAGAAACATGTACTGCTCCCCTGTTTTCAGGCACTGTTTGAGAACATTTTAGCCATTGATGTTCACACGTGGCATTGACCCATGCAAGATAGGTTTCTGTATTTATATATTAAAATACAAAAAAAAAAAACCCCTCATAAAATGTTTAAAAAATGTTCAAAGCTCGGGAGAAAAGCTTTCTTCATCAGTCAAGGTGTTTTGATATGGTATTAAAATAATGTCTAATAAAAGATACACTGCGTGATTTTATTTTGATGAAGTACTGTTAGAGGATGAAGAATTGGGGATGAAAAATGAAAAATTGGGGACAAAAACCCATCTTGCATCCCTCACCTAACTTGGCATTCCTGCAGGTTCTGCCTGCTATTCCTGGCTAGCAGGAAAGGGTGGTTCCCACATCACTAACCCTCTTAAGTGCCAGGGAACTGATCACCATCACCTGTGGAGTGGCTGGGATGGTGCTCTTCTGGAAAGGTGTCTGGGGACAAAGCTCTTGCAGCCACTGGAGGCCATGAGGATGTGGCTCCTAGCTAGCACCAATGCTCCCCTGGGCCTCTGCCCCCCATCCCACATCCTGCTCGCTGTTGCTCCATCCGAGTCTCAGTGCTGACTCATGGGCATACTTAATTGAGGCCCAAGAAGGAGCCTGGCTTGAAACTGAGCCAACTCAGTACCCTTAACCACCCACTCAGATTCACAAAAGTTGGCAAACTGCAGGAAGTGTAGGGCAAGGGGCAGCAGTGCTGGCCCAGCCAGCCTCCCAAGCCAGGGAGCTGTCCTCTAGGCCTCGGGCTGAGCCAGTCAAGGGAACATTGAGAGGGGGACATCAGCCTCTGCCCTGACCCCCACCCCCAGGCCTGCTGTTTGTGCTGTTGCCTAAGGGTCCATGCTCACCAGGGCTTCTGGCTTCATAATCACCCTCCTCAAATGCTGCCTACTTTGTGCAGGCGCATTCCCTGCAGGCCTGTGGCCATACTCGTGTGCTCAGAGCTGAAGAGCTGTGGTCCAGAGCCTGGGCTTCACTGGCATCCTCCCTGTGGTGGTCCTCCCTGTGGTGGAGACCCGGGGGCCTTAGAGTGCTGCGGTGGGAAGTGGTGGTCAGAATGGGCTCTGTCTGCAGTTGAACTGTGTTGGCAGAATGAGAAATGACTTCATTCCTCTGAATATCAATTGTTCACATGTGAAGTGGGGACAAACATCATATAGCTCAAAGGTCATTGTAAGGATCGGGATCTGCTCTGGAGGCCTGGCACATGCGCAGCAGGCTTCCCTGTAGCTTTGTCACCGCAAAGGGCACTGTTCTATTCACAGCACCTTCTGCTTCTGCCTGACAACTGTGTCTCCCTGTTCTATATTTAATTGCACCAGCAAAACTGGTGGGGCAGGGCCCAGCTTGGAAGATTTCCTTTGCCTGACCCCTGGATGTGGAGCTAGAGGTTTTGTGTGCCTCCCTTGGCAGCCCGAGCCCAGCTGCTTTTAGTGGTGCCACTGTGAGCCAAGTGGCTGTGCACTGGGTGAAGTGGGTGTGGGGCCCAAGCTGGGTGCTGTTACTGGCTCATGCTCATCGCCATCCTGGGTGACTTTGCTCCACCTGGCACACTGCAGCCCTCTGCTGGCTGTTACATCTTCTGGGCCCTGACCAGGTTGTCAGCACCTGGCATGTGGATGGGGGCGGTGTTTGTGATCTCCATCCAGACATCTCTCCAGAAACCTACATTCTGGAGGATTCTGGAAAGGCCCTGCCCTGCCTTTGTGGGAAGGAAGAAGCATGAAGGAAATTGCTCCTCATACAGCCATTTAATAGCATTGAGGTTTATAGGAGAAAGTCCTTAATCTTAGAAGGTAGATGCTGAGTTATATAGGCGAATGCTTTCAAGAAATGTATAATCTAATTCTAAATGACTCTCCCAAGATACACAAAGCAGATAATACAAGTGTTCATCATGGAATCTTTAATGGCTGGTATTTCAGTGAATGGTGGTGTACTTGTTTCCAACTTTTCTGTATGTTTGGAATTTTTCTTAATAAAAGAAATCATGGGTAAATGGCCATTTGCGAGTTCCCACTAGCTGCTAAGCACTGGAGTTCACATTAGAGAAAAGTCCTGCAGAGTGCACCCCAGACGGGGGTGAGGGTGAGGGTCTAAAGGGACGGGGCTAGTGCTATTTTCTTGGTGAGCATGCTGGGGGTGCTGTGAGGAGAAGGCTGATGGGAGTTGCCACCATACCAACCTTGGCATAACCTTGGCTCCCTATCAGGGCAGCCGCACAAAGAAATGTCACCAAAGCATCCTCAAGCCCACAGCTATCGCCGTCTGCTAGAGTCCAGTGTGAGCACAGAGGAGGCCCAAGAACCAAGGCTGGACTAAGAAAGTCCCAGGGTGTCAGCCTCTGCCCAGGGCTTTATGAGTGGGTGTTAAGGGTCCAGCAGGGCTTTGGGCAGGGCGTGGGGTGAGCAGGCTGGTGCTGTTGACTTCTGCACTGTCTGCTCTGCATCCTCCACCCATCTCCTTTACTAAGGTCAGACGCCCTTGGGGTGGGGGAAATGGACAGCACGCTGGCTCCTGGGGTCTGCAGGGAGTAGTGGCAGGACTGGCCATCAAGCCCCTCTCTAACTGGAAGGTGGGTGGCTCAGAGCTGACAACTACAGGCCTTGGACAGGAGTCCTGGGCCACAGCTCCCCAGAGCAGATGCTGTAGTCTGGGCTTTCTGGTGTCAGGTGCCCTCTAGTGGCCCTAGAGGGTTTAACTTCTGGGTACCGCAGATAAAGGCTCTGGCCTGGGGTCCCATGACATGTCAGGGTGTAGGCTGGGCTGACCTGGCCTTTGAGAGCATAAGCTGCTGGCACAATACCTTGAGCCACCAAAAGATGTGAGACAAGGAGGATAACCTTCCATTTCTCACAGTTGGTAGCAGCTGCCTGAAGAATGTGTTCAGGATATTTGAAGGCCAATTCAGGCTTGGTGGAGGCCATCATAAATGACCTCTACCATGGATCAGACCTCTGCCTGAGGTTCCTAAAAGCACAGTAATTGGGACAGGGACTTAGCTTCTTTCCAAACCCTGAGCACCATCCCCCTTTCCAGGCCACCCTAAGTTACAGGACAGACTCAGAATGATTGGGTCACTGGCCTTACAACAAGGAATCTGGATGGGAGAAGTTGGCAGCTTTGGAAGGAGATGGCTATAAATGGGTTTCAGATTCATTTGGAGCACCCTAATAAGAAGACCTAGCACCCTGAAGTGAGAGGGCCCCTCTTGCTTCTAGGTAAAGGGTCCTGGGCCCCAGCAGTGGGGAGGTCTCGGGGAAGGCAGGTGATCTCAGTCACGAGGTGACACCAGCCCTCCCCGCACACACACAGATGCGCAGAACAGAGGAAGCAGCTTCTTTTACTGAATGAATGGTTCCTGAGGGCAGGAAAGGGAGCAGGAAGAGGTCTAGCGTCTCTCTCTGCCTTCCAGCCTTAAGCCCCAGCTACAGAGGCCTTATGGAGCCAGTGTTTCCAGAAGAGGCTGTATCATCTGGACGCCTGCAGGCCAGATCCTTGGAGCTCCTTACAGCACCTTGCCTGGGTTCATGAGGCCTCGGGGGTCCAGTGTGGCCTTGAGCTGCTTCATGGTCTCCAAACCCACAGGGCCTATTTCCTCCTGTAGCAGCTGCTGCTTGCCCATTCCGATGCCATGTTCCCCGGTGCACGTCCCATGGAGTGCAAGGGCCATTCTGAGAAGCCATGAGAGTGGCCCTTAGTAGGTTCTCCCATCCCTTCTGCCCACCTCTACCCCATGGCTCCCACCTGCCCAGCTCATTTGCAAAGGTCTTGACTCTCTGGAGCTCCTTAGCGTCATCTGGGTTCACCAGCAGGAGGCAGTGGAAGTTGCCATCACCCACATGTCCAACAATGGCTCCTGGGGGCCCAGGGAACACAGCAGTCACTTCTGGCCTCATCTGCCCTTGGCTTAGGCACTAGTCAGTCCCAGCACCTCCCCACCTCACTCCAGCAGCAGGCAGGCAGAACCTGTGAGTCCTGAGGCCTTCAGCTTCTCCTTGGCATGCACCAGGATCTCCGGCAGCCTCGAGATGGGAACACACACATCGGTGCTGTAGCCCTGCGTCAGAGGCAAGCTGTAAGGCTCTCCCCTCATCCTTACCTGCTGGAGGTTCGGGGGTCACTGTGGTCATGGCGAAGGCCCAGTCTGGGCGAATCTGCAGTCAATTTTGGACTCACCGAAGGAAAGAGCTTGCTTTTATGTAACAACTAGCCTGGGTGTGTGCACCAGGCCTCAACAGCTTGGGGCCCTCACCACTCCTTGGCTCCCCCACCCTCAGCTCTGTGCAGGGCCCCCACACCCCACACTGCTGAGCCTCTGTAGGAGCTGCCTGGGACCCAGCCACCATTCTGGGTTGGACTGGCCCCTTCCTCTCCATATCTCTTCCTCCAGAAGGCCCTCCCTCTTGTGTTTACAACTCCTGAGAGCCCAGCATTGCTGCAGTGCCTGGCTGACAGGAAGGACTCCAGAGATGGGCAGACAATGGTCCTTTCTAGGCAGCATCTGAGAAATGACTGGGTGGTGCAGTGCTGTCATGAGTTGTGGTGCTGCTCAGCCAGGTGTGTGCCCCTACTCCCCATCTTCCATCTCCTGTAGGCCTCAGCCTGCTACGTGTCAGCTGGGTAGGGGCTGAAGAAGATGATCATGGACCAACCTGTGGGTCCCTGTGGAACCCTAGTCCCAGCTTACCTTGTAGCCTGGAGCCAGAGCCAGGAATGCATACCAAGCATTGTGCCTTGCGGTCCAAAGCTGGTTGCACTCCTCTGCTTCCTTGGCACAGGAGAAGTGGAAGGCTCCATTGTCCTGGGTGATCACTTCTGTAGTCAGGGAGAAAGGCTGACCTAGGCCCCACATTGGAGGAGCTCTAGTCCCATGGTCCCACAGCACAACCCTCCCCAGCACACCTGCCCGCTGCAGCTGCTCTGCCAGGGCCTGCTCCGAACCATGGAACTCAAGGAAGAGTGTGGGTGCCACCGAACAGTTCAGTTTGCTGTACCTGTTGCAGGCATCCATCATGACATCGTCGAGAAACTCTGGGACCAAGGAGAGGGATGGCCAGGTGAGGCCTACCCTCCTGAGGACCCTGGTGGTAACTCAGTCCCCGGCTCACCAATGCGGGCCACAGGAACTGCAGTCTGAAGCATCTGTACAGTGCTGTCCACTGCAGCCTGGACACTGGGGAACGCACAGGTGGCAGCCACTGTGGCTTCAGGAGCAGGGTGCAGGCGCAGGGTGGCAGACGTGATGAGACCCAGTGTCCCCTCAGAGCCCACAAAGAGTCCTGTGAGGTTGTAGCCAGCTGCACTCTTCCTGGGCCCCAGAGACATAAGGTTGGTGACTGGCTGTGTGTTGAGAAATTTCTGCCCAGAAGTCAGGAGCTGGAACCCAGTGCATCATCCCCTAGGGAGCCCAGTCTCAGCTGGCCTCCCGATTCTCTGACTTAACAACCCAGATCCTCCTTTTGCAGGGACAGCGAACCCTAGCACCATCCACTGGCCGTTTGTGGGGCTCCAGACCTCACCCACCCAGTCAGGAGGGTGGAGGGAGGAGGGAGGCCCGTCAGCCTCAGTGCACACTAGGACCTCCGTCTAAGGGCAGAGGGCGCTCACTTGAAATGACGCCCCTGGCCTGCAGTGTGAAGCAGCCGACCATCAGGCAGCACCACCTCCAGGTTGATCACGTTGTCACGCATGGTGCCATAGCGAACAGCATTGGTGCCTGAGGCACTGGTGGCAGCCATGCCACAGAGAGAAGCATCGGCACCTGGGTCTGGAGGGCAGACAACAGGAGAGGGTAAAACCAGGCAGGGAAAAGCAGGGTCCTTTGAAGCCCCAGGAACAGCCTAGCCCCCAGCGAGCCCTCAGGCCTCCGAGGAAAGGCATGCAAGCCCCAGGCCTACCCACGGGAAACCAGAGGCCACAGTCACGCAGGTGGATGTTGAGGGCTTTACGGGTGACACCAGGCTCCACCACCACAGAGAAGTCTTCTGGATGCAGCTCCCTGATCCGGTCCATATGGGTCAGGTTGATGCACACACCGCCCTGGTGGCAGGGATGCCGAGAAGGCTGGCTACCCTGGTTTCAGGGCGCAAGACCCCAGTCCTGTGCAGAGCCCCCAGCAGCCAGTGCAGAGCCCAGCATGGCAGATAGCCACGAACATGACCAGTGTGATAAGACAGACCTGGGGCACCCACTTTACCTGCAGGGCGCACACTCCCCCCTCCAGGCCGGTGCCAGTGCCAAATGGGATGATGGCCACGCCTTCGCTGTAGCACAGGGCTGCCAGCCGGCTGACCTGGTCCACATTCTGGGGCCACACCACAGCATCAGGAGGATGGCACCTGGAAGCAGACCTTGGCACTTTACAAGGCTGTGGCAACCGGTTGTGCACATTTCAAGGAGCCAGGAGGTTTTGCGGGGCCCGAGGCCACAACTAGGAGAGGGACAGCGAACACCCCCTTGTTTGCAGAATGCCATGGCACGCCCAAACAGGTTGCGGGTACCAGGACAACCCAGACCCTCTGTCCCAGCCGGGGGTTTCTGATACCTGTACATCGACTCATCATGCCCATGGTGCTCTCGGACCGCAGCAGCAGTGGACACGTGGGGGCGCCCCACCACTGCCTCCAGAGCCTCCACAAAGCCCTTGCTGAGTCCACGCTATAGGGGAGAAACGTTGCCAGAGTCACCCCAAGAGAGAGCTGGGTCACAGCCTGCCCTTGTGGCAGGAGAGACATAGAGGTTTAACAGGTTGCACCACGGTAAGGCAGAGCCCCGGAAAACGAGAACCAGACTCCCCGCCCTCTCAGCCCCCCGACCTGTGGTGCCCTGGAGTAGCAGCCCCTCCAGGGGAACAGCCCCCAGGTTACAGACCGGAGCAGCACGGCCATAGCTGGACTTCAATTGGGGTGTGAGTTCCAGAAGGCTGGGGGGCGGGGGCGGTGGGTGGCGCCTGGCTGCTTTTCTGTCCATTGGCTGCGCTCAGGGGTGGAGTCTGCTTAAGGTGGAGGGGATTTAAGGTGGCCCCCGCAGATCTTGCCAGTCAGAGGAGTCTGTGGATGCCATTTCTAAAGGAGAGGGAAGGTCGCCGGACACACTGGGAAACAGTGACGCTAGCCACTTAGCAGTCTGCCTTGGCTTCCAGTGGCCCTTCAAACACGAAAACCCTATGGAGGGCTTAAAAGTCATGCTGGCTCCTATAGACCACTCTATCTGCCCCACTTTCTTCTAACAGCCCTGTTAATCTCTGGGCCAACCTTCACTTTTGGGTCCGATTCACCCAGCTCCAGCCAGGCTCTGGGCTTGACATGCTCTGTCTTGGCACCAGCTCCTGACTCTCCTCTTGGCTGGAGGGGTTTCCCTCTCTTTACAAGTCTCAGGCCAACGTGGCAGGGCTGCCATCAGAGAGCCAAGAGGAAGGCAGCACCCAGAGGCCCTCCCAGAATGGAGTAGGAGTGGGACATGGGACGTGCTAGGAAGACTTCCTGGAAGAGGAGAGCTGGGAAGGAGCACCCCTCCACCAGGAAGGCGAAGACTCATCCCTCTTCCTCTGGGGCACAGCCAGGAGTTGGGTGGGTGCCAGGCTTGAAGCTACTCCTCGGTGAGCTGTAAGTGCCTTGGCTGGCATCACTGAGATAAAACGACATGCAGCTTTGGTTTTCTTTCTTTGAGTCATAAAAACTTCTTCCTTATTCTAGTCGACTTCTTCACGACAACCACATTTGGATGAGTTTGTCAAAAACCAAAATTACAAGCCGAGTGTGGTGGCACACTTCTGTAATCCCAGCGCTCTGGGAGACTGAGGCAAGAGGATCACAAATTCCAATCCCACCTGGGCAATTTATTTTTTTCAATGATTATCATTTTATTAGACTATATACAGGACACCATGAATTAATATACAAGGATCTAGTCCGCAAAGTCCAGACTATAGGAAACTATGCATCAAACAAGCCCATTTCTTCATAAATATATTATAAGGGAAAGGAGGGAAACAGCAGATTAAAAGTAACATAAAAGACATTTTGAAATATGCATTGTGATATTCATGAGACAGTTGAAAAGTTGAATATCAATTAAATATTTGGAAATATTTGAAAATTAAGTATTAAATTTCAGGTGTTGTAAAAGGACTATGATTATGTGTTTTTTTCTTTAAAGAGTCCTTATCTTGTAGGGATACATGCCGGACTATTTACAGAAGATATGACAAAGAATCTGAGATTGACCTCAAAATAATGTTGGAATTGGGAAGTGAATGGAATTATGACAAGCCAGCGTCTAGAAAGACCTCCAGCAACCCCTGCCACCCACGGTAGACTTGGCACCAGGATGACCAGCTCTGGGACAGTACTTTGGTTGTTAGCTTACACCACTTCTGGCCCCTACCTGGGCAATTTAGCAAGACACTGTCTCAAAATTTAAAATTTTTTTTAAAATTTTGTTTAAGGAGGAAAAAAAAAGCAGAGAAAGGGTACAAGTTATACAGATTTACAGAAAAAAATAAACAGTAGGAAATCACTAGTTAATGGATTACATATGTCATCTTAGAAATAATTGTTCAAGTCACAAAATTAAAGCTTGTAAAGTGGACATTCCAACAATGATACTGCAAACAGTTCTGTTCAATGATCCAATAAAACTCAGTGATATCATTTTCTATCTTATACACTTAAATATACATGCAGTTATATAGTTTAGAGCACTTTCTTTTCCTCTCTTTTGTACAATGACTATTACACATTTTGGGTTTTATTGCTCCCACGGTTCTTATTACTTTTTTGGAAGAGAGTAAAACCAAATGTGACATAACAGAACAGAATCAGTCAAATCAAAAGGGTGGACATAACAGATAATGTAAAAACATAATACAAGGTGATCAACAATGGTTACCATAATGCCTCCCGCTATCTCTAATAGAATTGCCTATATCATTAGTTATAATAAAATTGAACAAAACAGTAAAGAACAAAACCGACAAAACCAAAACATTGGAGACATTGTAGGTCTTCAAAAGTAGATAAAAGTCAATGAGAATGGGCATTATAATGAATCTCATTATCTTCACAGCTGTTGCCTAAACTTTCGAACCTGATACTATCCAGCAAAACAGAATAGGGGAACATCAGTCAAAAACAAGATGGTGAGAGTAATACAGGGCTTTAAATCGAGATAATGGAAAGTCAAAGTGGGTTACTATAATATATCCTGCTATTTTTATTTATTTTTCCCTTAATTAAAAGGTTAAAAATAAAAAAGTAAATAATGGAGTGGAGATTGAGATAAAAGAGGGCATAACAGCAAAACAGCACAGATCAAAACATAACCATTTAAGCAGAATAGTGTTTCACCACCAGATAATCCTGACATAAAAGTAGTTACCATATTGTCTCTTTCCTTGAAATCCTTGAGTACAACTTCGTATACTGTAGCATTAAATATATCAAAACAATGTAAAACCATTTAAGAGAATGACAGCATTACAGAGTATTTAGAATCGACTAACAGAAAATGAACAATGGTTTCTGTATAATCTCCTTGTCTTTAAAAGGTTTTTGCTTATACTATCGTACATAATAAAATCCAATAAGATACAACCTATTTAGACCAATGGAGACAGAACAAAAGCTTGATGAGATTTCAAAACAAGATGATACTAAATCAGTATTACCTATTAAGATGTCATTTTCTCCAAAATAGCTGTTCCTATCGTCCAATCTTCTCTGCCTCATTTCTGTTGAGCTCTATTTCTGTCAGTAGCTATCAGTTTGTCTTCTTCATTTTGTTCTCTGCTCCATTCGTTGTGGCCTCCCCGCCACTATTTCTGGATTCTTTGTATTTTTCTTTTTTTAGAATATCCTGCAATACTCTCTGTAGAGTTGAATTGGTGGTTGCAAATTCCCCCAGTTCCTCTTTATCCTGGAAGCACCTTGTTTTTCCATCAATTTCCAGGGACAGTTGTGCAGGATATCTCAATCTTGGCTGGAGATTATTATCTTTCAAAGCTTGAATTATTTCCCCCCACGCTCTTCGTGATTTGATGGTTTGTGCAGAGAAATCTGCTGTAATTCTGATGTGTGTTCCCTTGTAAGTGGTCTGTTTCTTGTCTCTGACAGCTTTTAATATTCTGTTCTTGTATTGAATTTCTGGAATTTTTATTATTATATGCCTGGGTGTTGCTCTGTTTGGGTTGTAGGTAGCTGGGGTCCTGTATGCCTCATACATCTGAGTATCTTTACCTTTTGCTAAATTAGGAAAATTCTCCTGGATTATTTCTGTGAGTAGCTTTTGTAGTTCACTTGTTTGTGTCCCTACTTCTTCTTTTATGTTCTTAATCCTTAAGTTATGGATCCTCTTATCATCTTCTTGTCTTTGTATTATTGCTGTTTGTTTCTTTGTTATTTTTAAGAAGTTTTTCATTTCATTCTCCCATATTACAAATCTGCCCTCCAGTTCAGATAGTCTGTCCTTAGTTTCTTTCAAGCTGTTATGCCAGTTTTCGATAGACTTCTTAGTTTCTTGTTAGTCCCTTTGAACCTGCTTCACGTATTCTATGTTTTCTCTATTTTCTCCATCAAACAATTCTCCCCTCTTTTTCTGTTCTTCCATTCCACCATCTGTTTTTTCTTGGGTGGTGCTTAGCATTTCTCTAACTATTCTGCATACTTCTAGCTTCAGGTCATTGATAACTTCATTCCTGAACTGGTCTATGAGGCTCTCTATATGGCACTTTATGTCTATTGGTGTGGTGTCCGCTATTACCTGTTTCTCAGAATTGGGGGCCGAGGAGCCTTTCTTGTTGCTGCCTCTTCCCATATTCTCTGTTCCTTATATATGCAAGCTTATATAGGAGACCCAGCTTCTCTCCCTGTCAGCCACAGCCTGATCAAATTGCCCGGCTCGGTGTTCCCGTCCACCACAGCACACCAGGAAGTTCCAGACCAGGCAGCCTACGCAGGGCCTGCCCCTCCTGGCCACAGTCAGGCTCTGGGATCTGGGTTGGGCTAGCCTACTGGGTCCACCAGCAGCGTCACGTAGGCTAGGCACTTTTCATCAATCCCGCCTGAGAGGGGGATGTGTGGCTGAAGTCGCCACCGCGCCCTGCTCGCGCAGGACTGCCCGGGCCCAGAACGTCTTCCGCTGGAGTCAAACTGTGGTAGAGTGTCAGTTTCTCTCACTCACCTCACCACAAGTCAGTGCACGCCTCCCTGCCCGTCCTGTTTTTGACTCTGTTCGCAGATTCCCGTTCTCAGAGCTTCCGCGCATCTCTCTCCTTGCCGAGCCGATGTAGAGGCAGCCAGCCGCCACGTGGCAGGAAACCCAAATCGCGGCTGCCAATGGCGCGGGCTCCAGCCTCCACACTGAGGCTTTTCTGTTCCTGTTTTAGCACCAGGACTGCATTCCAAGTTGGTTTCTCTCAGCCCAGTTCATTCCTGAGTCAGCAGAGCATATCTCCACCTGCTTATGTCTCCTTACTCCACACCCTTCCTGACTTCTGAGCCGAGCTTTTCAGAGAGCCTCCATAGTAGCTGTTATCTGTCCACCATGTTCTCCCAGAAGTACCAAAATTTAAAATTTTGAGAATGTAGCTCCTTTGGGGAAGGTAGCTCAGTGTGAAGGCCTCGAGTTCAATGTGTGTGTGTGGTGGGTAACTACAAGTTTCTCTATGGATCTAATTGGTTTTTATTCACAGCTCATGACTTAGGCCTGCCTCTAATCCTAAAACATAGGACACTGCCCACTGGACAGTGACAGAACAGTAGGTTTTGTAAGGTGGGAAGAATGACGGAACAACAGAAATAAACCTGATTGGTTACCTCTTTTTTGGTAAGGATTAAAGCTTAGGGTGCTGGGGCTGGGGATTTAGCTCTTCGGCATAAGTGCCTGCCTTGCAAGCAGGCAGTCATGAGTTAGATCCCTGGTACTGATAAAAACGAAAAAGACAAA